GGGGGGGGAAACTGAGGCACTGTGGGTCTGGGAGCTGCCCTGGGGGTGGGTGACATCGGGGGGCCAGGAGTGGGGCTGGGAGCGGGCTGTGACCATGGGGCGGGCATGGTGGGCACATGCATGTCCTCGGGCAGGACGCGGCATCCCTCGGGGGGGGGGACTCCCACCCTCGCCTAGTAGCTGAGGTCCACCACCTCGTGCCGGTACACCAGCGTGTTGGCCTTGAAGCTGGGGGCCAGCAGGAGCTGCACGTCGGAGGCCGGCACGTAGCGGAACGCCCGCGGCGCCTGCACCGACAGCTCCTGGAACTTGGCGAACTTCTGCTTCTCCTCCTCCCACAGGTACACGTGGGTGAAGGAGAAGTCGCTGCCCAGCGCCAGGTACTGCCGCTGCCCCACGGCGAAGGGCTGCATCACCATGGAGCCGCGGGACGGCAGCGTCTGCACCTCCACGAAGCGCTGCCCTTCCCAGCGCACCACCTTGGAGTCGCCGATGTAGCGGCTGAGGCAGAGGAACTGGTCCCGCTTGGACCTGAAGTGCTTCACCATCTGCACGTCCAGCATCTCCCCCACCTCGCCCTGCGCCACGAACTGCTTCTGCGCCCGGCTCCACTGGTAGATCACGGGCGCCTGGGAGCTGCTGGAGATGATCAGCCGGGGTTTGCCGTCGTTCTCCACGTACTCCACGTCGGTGTCGCGGTGCCAGGCGTGCAGCGCTTGGTGGGAGTAGAAGCCGTTCTGGTTGAGGCGGTAGAGGCTGGTGGAGCCCGCCTTGGAGCTGTCGGCGATGACGAAGTACCACTCCCCCTCGATCTGGAAGGCCTCGATGTCGTTGGGCTTGCGGACCTTCTGGCTGTCGATGTCCTGGATCTTGATGAACTTGTCCACGGCCGTGTCCCAGCGGTAGATGTAGGAGCCGCCGAAGAGCTGGGCCACCACCACGTAGAGCTGCTCCTGCGCCACGATGGGCTTGCAGTGCACGGCCGAGTGAGCTGCCGGCAGGACCGCGGGCACATCAGGGCTCTGCCCTCCCCGGGGTCACCCCAAACGAGGGTCCCATCGGCCCCCCCCGGCCGCTGCCTCACCGGGGATGCGGTCGAAGTCACGGAGCTTGCGCTCCACGTAGTCCCACTTGAGGATGGAGCAGCTGCTGGCACTGGGCTGTGCCAGGGCCACGTACAGGTCGCTGGCGTAGGTGAAGGGCTCGGCTGACACCGCCTGGAAGGGCAGGACCTGGTGTATCACGAAATCTGGGGAGGGGAGAGGTGGCAGTGAGGGTCCGGGCGCCCAGGAGCGGGGTGAGGGGTGACGGTGATCCCTTGCCTGTGGTGATGCACTGGAAGTCACCGAGCGTCAGGTCCCGGATCCGCTGCCCCTCGAACTGCCCGGGGCTGCTGCAGAAGACGGCGGGGACCGTGGTGTTGGTTTTCTCCAGCCATTCCACCAGCCACTTGATCTTGCAGTCGCAGGCCAGCGTGTTGCCACGGAGGTCCCTGCCAAGGATGGCACGGAGTCACCCCCAGCACCCACCGGGATGTCACCCTCTCCCCAGCCCGGTGTCCCAGGGATCCCTGCCAGGCCCCAGCACACAGGGTCCTCCTCCCAAGCCCCGGGATGTCACCCTCTCCCCAGCCCGGTGTCCCGGGGGTCCCCGGTGCCGTGGCAGCCTCACAGGTCACTCAGGATGTCCAGCGGCTTGAAGAGGTCCCGGGGCAGCGTCTGCAGGTTGTTGTTGGCCAAGGACCTGCGAGACAAGAAGGGTCGTGGGGACACATCTCTGGCAAAGCCACCCCCACCGTGCCCCCCGTGGGACCCCCACGTGCTCACAGGTGTGTCAGGGACTTGAGCCCGCGGAAAGTGCCCTTGGAGAGCGCCTGGATGTCGTTGTTCTCGATGAACCTGCGGCGGGAGGAGACGGTGGCATGGCCATCCCGAGGATCCCCCGACCCTCCCCGTGCCCTCCCCGAGGCTGTCCCTGTCCCCGTGTCCCCGTCCCTGCCCCACACACAGGTACTGCAGGTGCGAGAGCCCGGCGAAGGCGTTGTCCCCGATCAGCGAGAACTTGTTGGAGTTGAGGAGGCTGCAAAGAGAGAGGGGGGAGGTGTCAGCACTGGGTGGGCGCCAGGGGTGCCAGGAGGCCCGGCTGTGGGAGCAGGGGACGTACAGGAACTGCAGGGAAGGGATGTGGGCAAAGGCTGCCTCCCGGATCTCCGTGAAGGCTGCGTTCACCATCGTCCTGCCGGAGAGACGGAGCTTCAGGAGAGAGGGGACGGCAGCAGGGTGGCACTGCCACCCCCGAGCCCCCCAACACCAGTGTCACCCGTTGGGTGCCACCACAGCCCCCCTCAGCAGGGGGAGAGGGACCCCAGCAGCCTGTTGGGGGGGGCACGGAGGGGCCGAGGCACTGGGGGCTGGCACCCACCCATCGCTGCCCACGCCCTGCGGCAGCCCCTGGCCCGAGGCCATGTGCACAGACACGGGTGTAAACACACACACACATGTGCACACACATGTACACACATGTACACACACACATATGCACACACACGTCTCTGTCACACGCACCCGTACCAGGCACCGCTGTGCCCCCAGGGACCCCGGTGAGGACCCCCCCAGCCACGGGGCTCTGGTCCCCAAGGTCACAGGCGTGTCCCCTCGGGGCTCCTGTCGCCAAGGTCACGCTGTGGGCAGGCTGCAGCCCTGCTCTGTCTGTCACTGATGGATGGCTGCGTGTGCCACCACCGCAGGGCACCGGGACCAGCCCCGGGCTGTCCCCAGCCTGATGCTCCCCCCGCGGCCCCCCCGTACTGCCCGGACCCCACCCTGACCTCGTTTGCCCCCCGATGTGGCACAGAGAGGCTGTATCTGCCCCCTCCCAGGGCAGCCAGCAGCCGCTGGGACATGACCCGCTCCCTGTCCCCATCCCTGTCCCCATCCCCATCCCGGGGACTCACAGAGAGATGACCTCGGGGGGCAGGTTCTTGGGCACAGCCTTGGAATCCACGCAGAAAGCCGTGTCCCTGGTGCAGGAGCAGGTCGGGGGGCAAGGAGGGGGCCGGGGGGGCCGCCGCCCCTCCGCCGGCAGCCAGAGCCAGGCCGCGGCGAGGAGGAGGAGGAGGAGAGCAGGGAGCCGGTCCCTCAGCATCCCTCTCCCGCGCCGCAGCTCCATCACGCCCCGGCCTTATCCCTGCTTGATGCCGGGAGCCGTTCCCAATCCTGCTGTGCCCGGGAGCTGTGGAAAAGCCTTTTCCTCTCCTTTTTCCCCCCGGAGACGTCAGTGTGGAGGAGCAGCGACGGTGTCAGCAGAGGCTGCCGGCGCCTGACCCGCGGCTCTGCAGCACACCATGCTCCTGTGCTGCGGGGAGGAGGGAGGGAAGGAGGGAGAGAGGGAGGAGAGAGAGGGAGGGATGCGGCTGAGTGGCAGCACCAGCATCCCCGGGCGCGCGTGTCCGCGTGTCCTCACCGGCGAGCGAACACGGGGTTCCGCGCTGGGGAGAGCGAGGGGCGGCCACTGGGTTCCCTCGGGGTGCACAGGGGTGGGGGACAAGGGGGGGCACCCGCAGGGGTGGGTGGCACCGCGGGGGCTCTCCCGGCTCGGCGCCGCAGCGCTGCCCGCGCCAGCTCCGTGCCCGCTCTGGCGCACTGGGCACCCATCCACCCCGCCCGACCCGTCCCAGGCACCCGTCTCTCCCATCCCGGGTGTCCATCTGTCCTGTCCCTGGCACGGCGCCCATGGGAACAATGAGCCCAGCCAGCTCCTCGCCCTCTCCCCGGTGGGGGTGGGGGACACCCACAGCTGCCCGTGCCCAGCCAGGGCTGCGGCACCCCCGGGGACGTGCCGAGGGTGCTGGGGCCGCTGCCAGAGCCCGGGACGGGGTGCGGAGGGCGGGCACGCTCTGCCGCCGGCTGTTTGCCTTGGCACCCACCCTCCGCTGCTGGACAAGTGCCGGGAAAGGGCCCTCGGAGGTTTCATGTCCCCTCCCTGGCTCTTCAAACAGCACAAGTGGCACCTTGGCAGCCGGGTCGGCCACAACCTCCCCCCCACCCACCCGCGACCATATAAATCCCCCCGGCCGCGGCTGGCAAAGGGACAGGAACACCCGGCGAGATGGACGACAGCTCCAAGGAGGCGCTGATGGAGGAGGCACCCCCGGTAAGGAGCACCCACCACCCATCCCGAGGCAACCCACTGCCGTGCCCGGCCCCAGGCCGGCGGCTCAGCCGGGCGCTCCCCTCTCCAGAGGTACACGGAGTCCCCCCGCCTGCCCTGCGTCCCCCACCAGCTCAAGTGCCTCCTGATCGCCGTGGTGGTGGTGGTGGTCCTCGTGGTGGTCATCGCCGCCTTCCTCCTCCTGGGGCTGCACATCACCGAGACACACGCGGAGACGGTGAGGGCAGGGAGGGGCCACGGGCTGCGGGGGGGCGGGTTTGGGAACGGCCCCGGCCTCGCAGGGATGGGGTTTGGAGCTCCCTGACCCCGCTCCGCCCGGCAGGTGCTGCGAATGACCATCCACGGGCTGGATGGCGAAGGGACCCCCCAGCACCTCTCCATGAGCAAGAAGGAAAGGACCGGGACGTTCTCGGTGAGGGACGGGCTCAACTCCTCGGCCATGGTGGTGTACGACTACAGCAAGGTGTGCGGGGGGCGCCCGGGGACGGGCACGGCGGGCACGGGGTGGTGCCGAGCTGAGCCCGGGGTCTGTCTGCCAACAGATGCTGGTGGGCTACAGGTCCTGGCGGCACCGCGCCTGCTACATCACCCGTGTGACCAGGGACAACTTCCCGGGGCTGGACGCTGTCACCGACACCTTCCAGCGCCGGCAGGTGAGCGGGGATGGAGCCGGGATGGGGGTGGAGCCGCACTGGGCTCATCCACATCCCAGCCCCTGCGTCCTGGGAAGCCAGGGGCACACGTGGGGCTGGGGGTTTGCTGTGGCTGCCGAGGGTGGCAGCCCCTGCTCCGTTCTCTGTCCCACAGGCTGAGGAGGTTGGGGACAACAGCGCCGTGCCCCTGGCAGACCGCTCCATCCTGGGCACCACCATCAACATCCTCTGCAGCACCGTGCCCGTGTACTGGGCATAGCACTGGTTCCCAGAGGGATGGCACAGGGAGAAGGGGATGTCACCAATGTCACCATCCCCGTGTTGCCTCCTGGGATGCCCAGGCATTCCTCCTCCTCCCGGTGCCCATCCTGGGGGCAGCCACCCCGCTGTGGGAGTGCTCTCATCTGTCGTCACTCGGCACCGTGGTGGCTTTCCCACGTGTCACTCACAATAAAAAAGTGGGATTTGCTTTGGGATTTGCTTCTGTCTGCAAAGTGAAGCCTCTGCCCCCTCCTCCACGTGCTGCTCTCGTCCTTCCCGGGGTGGTGGGGCTGTCCCAGGGATGTCTCCTTGTGGGGTGCAGGGTGGGACGGTGAATCCTTCGGGTTGGGGTGCCACGAGCCTGGGAGGGTTCAGACATGGGGGGTAGTGGCACGACTACCCCTGTCAGAGACCAGGCTCCCAGTGTCCCCACCTGTGCACTCCCAGTTTCCACGGATGGCAGGAGCAACCTCTGCACTTTCAGCCCTCCTGGAAATGTCCCTGCCCCTGTCCCCTCCTTGTGCAGATAGAGACAGAGGGTCTGTGTCACATCCCTGGTGAAAGCCAAGCCCTGGGTTATCCACAGACACCACGATCCAGTTGCTCCAACTCCCCTCCATCCCCATCCAGTCCCCATCCCCATCCACTCCAGCCCCTCTGCCCCACAACAGGGAGCAACCTCGGGGGGAACCTCCTGGAGCTGCACTGGAAAACTGAGGATTAGTGGAGCTGGGAGAGGGAAAAGAGACCCTGGGAGGTTGATTTGACCTTTCCAGGGGTGTAAACTCGGTGTTGTCCCCACAGTCACTGCCATAGGCAGCAAGGGGGAGGTCACAGCTCCCAAGGGGTGACACTTTGCCGGGAACAGGAGGGAAAACTACACGTGCTGACCCGCAGCCAGCAGAGCTCTGCCCCACAAAATGCCTGACCTTGTGTTGCCCTGGCAAGGATCCAGGTCAAGAGCGTGCCCAGGGCTGTGGAAGGCGAGAAGGGCTCCCATGGTGTCCTAGAGCAAACAGCCAGGAGCCACTGGAGGGTCTCTCATGGTCCTTTGTCACCCTGGGAAAGGAGGCAGCGTGAAACGGGGGGGCACACAAAAACCCCACACCTGGCTGTAAGAGTTGGGGGTCTCAGGGGGGGGGTTAGAGAGGTCCCAGCCTGAGCCCAGCTGCAGGAGAGCCTCGTGGATGGGCAGAGCCAAGGCACAGAAGCGTTCCTCTGCCAGCTGGGGTGACATGCCAGAGCTGGGACCACTCTCACCCCCAAAAAATCCACAGTGCAGCCCCAAAAGCCACAGGCAGTGGTGCCTGAGCACCCTCAGGACCAAGAATGAGGACAAGGAACATGTCCCAACCCTATGGTGACCCTGTTCCCACCCCACCCCTGAGGATTACAGGAAAGCTTTAATGCCCTGTTTGCTCTTTGCCCACCTCAAGCAGCTCCAGGTGGCCGAGCTGGCGAAGGGACACGAGCCAGGTCTCCCCTTGGCCGCAGCCACGGCCGGATGCTCCACCCTGGAGGGTTTGCTTTGGCCCTGACCCCTCGCTCCTGGGCAGCAGAGAGCTCCTCGTGCCCGGGGACGAGTGTCCTCCACCGAGTGCCCTGGGAGCCTCTTGACCTGCGTGTTCCCAGGAGGATCCAGCTGGGAGTGGGTGCTCGGCAAACACCAGTGAGGAGGGTCACATGCCAGAGCCCGACTGCACCTCTGGGGACACCAAACCCTTCACAGGGGCCGCTCCTGTCCCCACCCCAGTGCCCTGGTATAAAGCACCCGGTCCCTGCAGGCAGGCCGGGCTGGGAGGAGGAGGAGGAGGAAGAAGAGGAGGAAGAGGAGGAGGAGGAGGAGGAGGCTGCCATGGAGAGCAGCATGAAGCAGGTGGTGGTGGAGGAAGAAGAGGTGAGTCCCTGCAGAGTGGCACGTCCCCACGTCCAGCTGGGCACAGGGCTTTGCCCTGTTCATCCCAGCGAGGCACCAGTGCAGGAGTGATGGGAAGGACCCCTGGGATGCTTCATTCCCAGCACTCAGGATCTCTGACATGGGAAGGGCCTCTGGGATGCTGCATTCCCAGCACTCAGGGGCTCTGACATGGGAAGGGCCCCTGGGATGCTGCATTCCCAGCACTCAGGGGCTCTGACATGGGAAGGGCCCCTGGGATGCTGCATTCCCAGCACTTAGGGGCTCTGACATGGGAAAAGTCCCTGGGATACTGCATTCCCAGCACTCAGGGGCTCTGAGATGGGAGGAGCAGCACGCTGAGGGGCAGTGGAATGCCCAGTAGCAGTGGGATTCCAGCTTCTACCCACAACAATCCCACCCCCAACCCTCCTGCACCCCGCACCTCCCACCTCCATCCCGCTCACCCCACCTCCCCCCCGCTTTTCCCAAACCCCCAGGACTCGGAGCAGGGGTGCTGCTGCCCAGGTTGTTGCTTGCCCTGCACCATGTGCTGTGCCAAGTGTGCCCGGTGCTGCTGCCTGCCCAAGTGCTGCAAGTGCCCCAAGCTTCCCGGCTGTTCCGGCTGCTGCGGCTGCTCCGGCTGCTCCAGCTGCCTCAAGAAGTCCCTGTGCTTCGTCCCTCGCCTGCTGTGCTACCTGCCCCGCAAGCTGCTGGGCAGCTGCCGCCACCTGAGGTGCCTCCTCATCGTGGTGGTGGTGGTGGTGCTGCTCGTGGTCATCATCGCCGGCGCCCTGCTCATGTGGCTGCACGTGGACCGGAGCCACGCCGACACCGTGAGTGGGCAAACCCTGGTGCCATCACCAAGGACCCCCTCCTGATGCCCACCAGGAGGGTAGGGGGTGCTGCAGGCTCTGAGATTCCCCCCTCGACCCCTCTCCAGGTGCTGCGGATGGGTTTGTGGGGAGGGCCGGCCCTGGAAGAGGATGCGGCCACCTTCTACCTGGACAGCGGGGACGGGAACGCGGCCACCCTCATCTATGACTACAGGAATGTGAGTGGGGGGCACCCGGAGGGGGGGCACGGGGTCGTGGGGGCCGTGGGACGGAGCCGACCCGGGTGTGACTTTCAAACAGCTGCTGGTGAGCTACAGATCCCGTCTGCACCGCGCCTGCTACGTCACCCGCGTGGACAAGGACAACATCCCGGGGCTGGACGCGGTGGCCGAGACCTTCCAGCACCGGCAGGTGAGGGGTGACCCGGCTGGGGCTTGCTGGGGCGCGGGGGGTAGACCCCCGGCGAGGATTTGGGCCGCGGTATTTTCATTTCTCGTTTTCCCTTCTCCCTCCCCGGCTCCGCAGGAAGAGCAGAGGATCTCCCTGCCCCTGGCCGACCGCTCCCTCCTGGGCAC